TGTGAAATCACACATTGGTTGAGGAGGAGAACGAAACACTATTTATAAAGGTGGGAAAACCTGTGCTAGTAGAGGAGAAACTTGAGGCGATATGCCAGCAACAACGCTGGCTCCAAAGAGAGGTGGATTTGGTTGAAGTCTCACATCGATTGGAGAAGGAAACGAGTGCCAAAGAGGACGTTGAGCCCAAAGAGGGTGGATTGTAAGATCCCACACCGGTTGGGAGGAGAACGGAGCACTCTTTATAAAGGTGAGAAAACCTCTCCCTAGTAGAAGGGAAACTCGAAAGAGAAAACCTAGAAAGGACAATATCTGCTAGTGGTGGGCTTGGATTGTTACAGCTGGTATCAGAGCCATACACCAAACGATGTGCCAACGAGGAGGCTGAGCTCCGAAGGAGGTGGGCATGAGGCAATGTGCCAGCAACGACGCTGGCCCCAAAGAGGGGTGGATTTGGTTGGAATTCCACATCGGTTGGAGAAGAGAACGAGTGTCAACGAGGAGACTAGCCCCGAAGGAGGTGGATTGTAAGATCCCACACTGGTTGGGAGGAGAACAAAACACCATTTATAAAGGTGAGAAACCTCTCCCTATCTGACACGTTTCAAACACCTTGAGGAGAAACTCGAAAGGAAAAACTCAGATTTGCCAGCGGTGAACTTAAACGGTTACGGATCTAGATGAAATCAAAGCAAAAGACAAACCTTTTTTGTTGATGACTTCAGGGGCGACATAAGCAGGGGTACCACAAGTGGTATGAAGAAGCCCATCTTGGCGTCTAGACTCAGCCAAAGCACTCAACCCAAAATCCGAAATCTTAAGATTCCCAAACTCATCAAGAAGGAGATTCTCAGGCTTGATATCTCTATGATACACACCACGGCTATGACAATAATCAACAGCACCAATGAGCTGCTGAAAGTACTTACGAGCAGCATCTTCCTTGAGCTTCCCTCGAGCCACTTTGTTAAAAAGCTCCCCACCTTTGACAAACTCCATGGCAAAATAGATCTTGGTCTTGCTAGCCATCACCTCATAGAGCTGCACCACATTAGGATGGCGGACAAGGCGCATCACAGAGATTTCCCTCTTGATTTGATCGATCAACCCACCACGCAGTACTTTCTCTTTATCAATAATCTTAATCGCCACGCTCTGGCCTGACTTGAGATTACGAGCATGGTAGACTTTCGCGAAAGTTCCCTGTCCAAGAAGCCTCCCAAGCTCATATCTTTGCATTAAAATGGTACCCTTTTTCTCCATTTACAAGGAGAAGAAGAGGAACACGAAGAAAAAAAAAACACACACACACACAAAACAAAAAACAGGGGAAAACAGGGGAAAAACAGGGGAAAAACAGAGATACAGAAAGAGGAAAGAAGAACAGAGTTAAATAAGGAGAGAAAGGGAAAAGGGAAGAGGTTTAGAAGAAGAATTTGGTAAGTGACAGAGAAATTTAGATGTTTTTGTGGCTGAGAATTGGAAGGGGTAACAGAAATACCAGAAGGGTGACCCAGTAAAATTCAGCTTTGCCTAAAAGTGGGATTCAATATCGATATCGACGTATCGATATCATCGATATCAATTTCAAATTGGTTGAACTGAAGGGGTATCAAATCTAATCCATTTGAGTGTCAAGAAAAGTAGTGAAAAAGGCTTTGGGGGCCAAATTGGAGAGTGAAATGGTGACAAGTGGCTAAGTGGGGTTTGGAAATGGATCTATTTTGAGCCACAAATCAAGTGGTTGTAAGAGAATTTATAAGTTGGGTATCATAAAACCATCCAAAACCATCCATTATGTTTGTCAATGTATCTGTAAGATTCTTAATTTTGATATCAATTTCTTGGCTCTATAATTATTAGGACAAAACTAGGTTCATGATTATAAGACTATTATGCAAGGTTCATTATTCTATGATTAGATTATAATTAAAGTATCGTGAAAAAAAAAACGGTACTTTCATTAAGATTTTCGGTGAGACCCTACATTAGTTGGAGAGAGTAACCGTACATTTTTGTGAGGGTGTGGAAACATTTTCGTGGCAGACGTGTTTTAAAAACCTTGAGAGAAACCCAAAAAAGGAAATCCTAAAGGGGATAAAATAGGCTAATAGTGGGTTTGAGCTATTATAAATGATATTAGAGTTAGACACAGAACAATGTGCTAGTGAGGACGCTGAGCCCTGAATGAGGTAGATATCGAGCGTGTGTTAACGAAGACGTTGAGCCCTGAAGGGAGTGGATTGTAAGATCCTAGATTAATTGGATAGAAGAACAAGTGTCAACGAAGACACTGGGCCCAAAGATAAGGGTGTGGAAACCTCTCCCTAACGTACTTGTTTTAAAAATCTTAAAGAGAAAGTCCCAATAATTCATTTATAATAATTTTTTTTCTCGAGTCCTTCAATTAATTCCATCATAACCGTTAGTTAGTTAATTGAGGATAATTGTAACATGTGACAAAATTTGTTGTCATATGTACAAATACAAATAAAAACAAAATATTTAGTAGTGAATATATTTATAAATGAATGGAATTAAATTAAAATTAATTAAAATTAAAATTATTATATTTTTAAAAGTAAATAAGCATGATAGATGTCAGACTAAATTATTACAAATATATATAATTTTTGTAATTATTGATATATATATATATATATATATTTTGAATCAGATTCAAATACATTGAATTTATATTAAATATTTAATATTTAATTTATAAAATATAATAAATATTTTTTATATATATTTAATATTCATAATTTAAGAATATTTATGGATTAATTAGGCTTTCTTAGATCTTGATAAAAATTAAGACTATTTATTATTATTATTTTAAATAAAATATAATCATTAAAACATTTGTTTATTTATTTTAAAGTTGAATTTTAATATATATTTTTAAAAAGTATAAAATTTTATTTTTAATCATGAAATTATATAAAATTGTATCATAATTAAAAAAATTATTAACAAATTTAAATTATTTTAATAATTTATGAATCAATTCAATCCATAACATTTTTATTTATTTGAATACAACCCGACCACACGGTAATTAGGATTCAAATCATTTTTTTTTTTTTTTGAAGGTATGAAATTATTTAATTTAAAGATAATTTAAAATTAATTAGAAAGAAAAAGGAAATTTTGTTGGAAAGGAAAAGAAACAAAAATCAGGTGGCGTGAACGTGGGGTTGGGTAGTTGATTGGACTAGAAACAGCGGCGTAGATGCGTGTCTTTCTTCCAATTACACAAGTTTCTCGTCCACTTATTAGCTCGAGTCTCGAACATATTCTTACCGTTAGTTTATGAATGGTTATGAAACATTATTCAATTTAAAAAGTTTCATTAATATCCTTTAATTGTCACAATTCAAGTGAGTTAAGCCTATTCGTTCTCGTGTCGTCTATGTATGCTCGAGCTTCTGCCCTTGGTTTAAGAAGAAAGTTTTAGAAAACGGGGCAGAGAGATTTCGAAAACAGAGTTTTAAAAGCAAGATTTGAGAAATTAAAATTGGTGTTATATGACAACGACTTACTGCATGTAACTATCGGGCATGGAGAAATTAAAATATTTAAAATGATCTTTTTACTGGTCGTTCTATGTTTAAAAAATGTCTATGAAATTTTAAAAGTATCATTATCACACTTTAGTTCTATAAAAAAAGATATACGGTTAAAAGAATTTTTACCATCAATATATGGACGAAGATCATTTATTGACATCTTATAGATTATATCCAAACTTTTTAACGTTACTTTTGAAAGTTTATGAGTATATTTTGAAACGTGGTACTAAACGGTAAAAATATTTTTGAATTTTTTTTAAAAAAATTCAAAGATGTTTTTAAAGTTTGTAAACGAAAGTTTAAGGGGGAGCAAGGAGCCCGAGTATTCTTGAACTTTTTTTTTTAAGTTGAAAGGGTATTTTTGATATATCTTTAAAAGTTCAATCATTCATGTATCATTGATCGGTAGGGAGATTTTTATTTCTAGTCTTTTCGTTTCCGTACCATAAAAATTCGAAATATAAAATCATTGGAATAGTAGTATTCATTGTTATTTGATTTGATACATTGTGGTCAGTAACATTGTTGAATTGAGCCCTCGGTAAACAAAAGCCTACATAGTAGTTCCAATGCTACACCTTCAATCACTCGGCCATCTCTCCTACAGAATGATTATGGCCTAGAAACCGAGTTAATAGGGAGTCATTCATATTCAATTTTTTTTTTATAGGTAGTTTTTTTGATAGGCACGTCCAACCAATTCGAACCCTCGGTATTATTGAAATTTTTCAAAATTTGAAGGTATTTTTATTAATTTGATTTATTTTTCTAATATTTGGAAATAACTTTTCAAATATTTGATTTTAAATCTTAATTCAACCTATAAAAATAAATAATCAAATGTTTATATTTTTATTAAAATTAAAAATTTAAAGTAATGATATGATTCAATCTAAAATACGAGATCTCATGTTGATTGAAGAGGAGAACCAAACATTCTTATCATGAATGAAAAAACCATGAAATAGACATGACAAGTAAAGAACAAAAGCTACTAACAATATCTATTATATGCTATTTGAATGGTTACGAATGGTATCAAAATCAGATATAGGGTAGAATCAAACATTTTTATATGGGTGTGAAAATCTATACATATCAAACTTGTTTTAAAACCGCGAGCGTAATAAGATCCTATCCAATCTTATCTAATCCAAAACCGAAGAAGGCAGCGGGCAGCGGGCAGCGGGCAGATTCCTCGTCAACTTGGCCGTCAAATTCCAAGCTTTATCCTACACAAAAAAATATATATATAAAAAAAAAAAAATAATGGTTTTTGAAGCAGCAACTGTATAGGAATTCACCGCCTTCTATATTAGTCCAAATCCCAAATACCCAAGAACAGAGCTTTTGAAGTCATGGGTTCGAGCCTATAAATTTGCATACCCCATGGAATTAAAAATAAAATACCCAAAGCGACACCCCATGGACGACGGCGAAGCCCTGGAAGCCACGCACCAGCACCGCTCCCGCTGCTGCTTCCAAGAATGGATGCAACTCCAGCGCCAAGACCTAACCCTCCTCCTCGAATCCATTCACAACACCCACAACGACGACCAATCCAGAACCCTCATCCGCAATTGCCTCGCGCACTTCGAGGATTACATAACCAATCGCAGGCGCTTCGCGGAGGAGGACGCCTTCCCATTCTTCGCACCCACATGGTGCACGTCGTTAGAGAATTCCTTGCTCTGGATTGCAGGGTGTCGGCCATCGATTTTCATACGGTTGTTGTATGCGTTAAGTGGGTGTGAAGTGGACGCGAGGTTGGGCGAGTGGTTGGAAGGGATTAGAGGGGAGAGTGGGAATCATCATCTCCATGTGGGGAATTTGTCGGCGAGTCAGTTGGTGCGTGTGAATGGGCTGCATATGAGGACGGTGCGAGCAGAGGAGAGGCAGGGGAGGGAGATGGCGAGCTGTCAGGAGGAGCCGGCGGATGAGCCGATTGCGGTGATTGTGAATGAGATGGAGGGGGTGGTGGGGGAGGAGGTGGGGGAGGCGGCGGAGAGGGCTTTGAAGGAGCATGAGAGGGAGATGAGGAGGATGATGGAGAAGGCGGATGAGTTGAGGTTGAAGACGATTAAGGAGGTTATGGAGATTTTGGAGCCGGTTCAGGCGGTGGAGTTTTTGGTGGCGAGTAAGAAGCTTCATCTCTCGTTGCATCAATGGGGGAAACGCCGAGATGAGAGGCATGGGAGAAGATGTTGATTTTAGTTTAGATTTTGGTGTTTGTTTTGATTTGTTCTTTACTTTTGTTGTTCTTCTTGTTCTTGTGGGAAGAACTTGTTTGGTTGTGTTGTTAGCAAACGGTGGGTTCTTGCATATGGGCTTGTCGATTTGCCACCGACTTGACTTGTTTTTAAATCGTAGTGAGATTTGGGGTCGAAGAAGGCATACACACCTCTAAAATAGAACTTAAAATCGTATCTTGACTTTAGACTCTATTTTCGATTTTGGTGGAGTCAATCCTCCGATGGTTGGCTCGTGTTGGCTCCATCTAGGTAGGGAGGCTCTCTTCAACACCATATTGACTCTCAAGTTACTTATTTAGCTCGAGTTGGACTTTTGGATGCTTTCTTGTTATTTTCGGCTAGGGCTGTTATGACCGTTGTAGTAGGAGAGTTTAAGTTGAGTATGACTATTGTTTAGCCAATTTATATTATTTTGAGTGTTTTGGATTAGATTATGCAATTTGAGGGGCAAATTTTTGTAATATTATTGTAAACTGTGATGTTCACTCCGCTATTTACCTTGTGAAAGAATAAATAAGTTTCGGAGTGAAGGAGTTTATCTCGTTCAATCAGTCAAAAGTGAACGAGTTTACCGAGTTTACTGTTCAAGAAAGGAGAAGATCAAGAATAAAACACCTAGTTACCGAGTTCAATCAGGGAAGGGAATATCGGTTCAGGGGAAAGAGAATAAATAAGGAGTCTTGACTTGAAACACTTCCTTTTACAATTAAAGAGATAGTGGAAGAAGGAAGAATCGTCCCGGTGAAATTGGAATTTAATGAGTAGAATCAGGCTAGAACCAGAATTTGTTAGTAGCTTTGACTTAGGTCAACCATGGGTTCTACTGTTGGATGTCTATGGGCTTGGTTAGATGACTATACGTTGTATGAATGACACGTACTCTATGACCTTTGCATGTGTCATACTTTATGATGTTATGGTGTATGATTTGTGTTATGTTATATGTAATGATTTATGGTATGATATGAACTCTGTTATATGATGCATTAACCTTTATACGTTATGTTGCATGTTCATACTATGACTATGAAATATTGGTATGTTATGTATGTTAACTATGAAAGATATGTCAACACTATGTCATGAAAATAAATAGAGGTATGACTTGCATCATAAGTATGTACTATGATTTAAAACTACGAGGTATCATGCATTTTGTATGTTATGTGAATAAAAATACTTTATCGTTATGATTAGTATAGACGCGTATATCATGATATTATACACGCTCCTTTCCCTCCGTAATCTTTGGTAGCGTGAGGGTGTACTAGCCCATAGTCAGGCCTATAGGGTACGTATATGAGCATGCCTCATGGGTCTATGTGCACGTGCATGGGCTGTGTGTAAAGAAATACTACACATCCAACCCTACCTAGACTCAAAAGTAAAAACAGAGTTTTATGAAAAGACAAGTCTCACCGTAATCACATGTGATTACATTTTCGGACTCAACAATTGACTGCTCTTAAATACTCACGTGTTACTTGGAAAGACCATTACATTTTTTAAAATTTCAAAAACACTTTTAAATTTTTTGAAAAAGAATTTTAAAAAATATACGTTAGTACAACATTTCAAAAATATTTATGATACGAGATGTTTTCGTTAATAATAATTAAACTTTTTTTTAAAGACATTCGATCTAAAAAACAAAATTTATTTTACGTTTATAATATCTTCTAATATATATTTGATGGTAGAAATTGATTTCACATATAATATAACAATTTGATTAAGCTTTATCAATTAAATATGTATATTATGTTATAAATTTCATATAATTATTATTATTTAAAATATCATTTAATTTATACTATATTATGGATTTGGACTTGAACCTTTGTATTTGAGCGGGCTTAGATGGGCCGGCCCAGTTCAACGTGGATTTGATTTAAGTGCTCCAATTTAACATATTGGTAGTAAACTTTCAATTACATTCAATTATTGGTCGGTCAATTTTGTTAGGTTGACCTTGTTCAATTTGTTCGAGTACGGATAAGTATGTTCATTTAATCTGCGAGGTTGGGCTCCATGAGGACTTGCTCTGGATCAGCGGAAAATTTAAACGAGAGATGAGAGAGAGTGAGGAGAGGATTCTCTACATTAGTAGAAAGGGACGAGTTGTTTAGCTTAGAGAAATGTATCCTGCTCCCTCCTCGTTTCTGGTTTAAATGATTATTTCTCATACGCTGTGATATGATAAGGAATGAATACAAGGGGAATAAGATTCGGATTACCTTGTTGATCGAATATCTCAAGGCAAGAACATTGTTTGAGATTCGAATCACTCCACAAGCAAGATCGATCATGTCTAGCTTGAATGATTCTTGTTGATCAAATATCTCAACGCAAGAACACTTGATTGAGATTCGAATCACTCCACAAGCAAGATTGATCATGTCGAGCTTGAATGATTCTACATGCAACCTAAACTACATAGAATTGCAAAGAAACTTAGCCATTGGCTAAAGAAGAGCACAAATGTTCTTTTACTCTATTTTCCAAGTCTCCTTACAAATACAACATACATGCCTTTATATAGCCATGAAACTATTAAAGTAAAGGCATTCCAAAAGTTGTAACATTCATACTTAATGAACATAATTAGCCATTATGTAAATGTAACATAAAGTAAATAAAATGTCTTAAAATACAATAACTCTAAATTACTCTAAAGTGTAACCCACCCAAAATTTGTAACAATCAAACTTCATTTTTTTTCAATGTGGCATGAATTGAAACATCTTTTGATAATTTCAACCGTATTTTCTCAAGATCTTCATTGTATGATTGATGTCTCTGGATTCATATCACGCTGTAATATAAACCAAAACAATGGTTATTTCTCACAAGCTGTCATATGAAACAAGACATCTCAACCCTACAATATTAATGTATACTATACTAAGAAGAATTATTTGAGAGGGAGCTTTCTTTATTCTTATCAGTTACACACATATATGGATAATTAAAAACTACATTTGAGGGGTTTCATTAATTATTATACTTTTTATTTACTTTGAGTTAGGTTTACAATTGTGGCTAATTATGTTAGTAGGTTACAAACTCTTAAAAAAATGTATCTTGTCAGGTCCGGGCAGGTCAGGGATTCGTCTTGAGGTTATAGAAATCATATATGTTATATTTGTAGATGAGATTTAAAAATGTGTTCAAATTGAGTTTAGATTGCATGTTTAGAATCAAGCTTGACATTGCATGTTTAGAATCATGTTTAGAATCATTTAAGCAAGACTATGAAGTGACACATAATCAATCTTGCTTGTGAAGTCGACTGTGAAGTGATTCGAATCTCAAACAAGTGTTTTTGCTTGACATAATCAATCTTACTTGTGAAGTCAATCAAGCTTGTAACGATTACTTTTGACGTTGTGACCTCCGTAAATGTACATGTAACATTAAAATTGTGATGATTGCCCTCATCTACCTTCTTATTTCAACCATAACAACACTACTATAACTTTTCAAAAACGTTTCAAAACTACCTTCAAAATACATATGAATTACGATGTTGAACGAAAATATTGATGTAGCAAATCATAGTTCTTTCGTGCTTAACCTAGACAAACTTTTTCATCACTATCACGTGCTTGAGGTCACCAACATCTCAATCTTTGAAACAAATGGAGCAAAGTAGACAAGGATACATATGATCGACTGTTCGGTGTAATGTAAGCGGAGAGTTCAGGAGAAAACACTAACAAAAGAAGTAATGTACATAACTCAAAGAAGGGTTCGGAACGAGCTAAACAAGTTGATACAACACAAAGACAAAGACAATGACAGACAAAGACAAGGGTGTAGCAGCAAAACTTGGAGGGTTGTCTAATAAATCTAGTAAAAGGGGGAGTTTTTAACAAATTTATGTATTATTTCACTCCATTTGAGATGTATTTTTGTGTATTAGAATGTTACATCCCAAAGTTTGATAAAATAAAGATTACACAACCAAGTAAGTAACAAAGAAAAGGAAAACAAAAGGCATCCCCCACTTCACAAACTCCAAATCCACACCCTTACTGATATATCAGCCATAAGCTATATAAGACATTGTGGGAAAAGAATTTGAATCAAATGAATAGTGAGGGGCTTTGCTTACATCAAAACAACAGAAAAATAAAAGGGAACAGGAGAAAAACAAGAAAGGGGTTGGGTTTCCATGTGTTGATGAGGCTGAGAGACCAAAGCAAATGAACAGCACAGGGGAGAGCAGGAGGAGGATCCAGAGTTTGAAACAGGCTATCCTTTGTATTTAGATATTAACACACACACAAAAAGAAAAAAAAAACATACTATACTTGCAACAATGGAGACAGAAGGAGACACGCCACTGCTGTTCTTCTTCTTCTTCTTTGTTTTCTTCTTTGTCGTTGTCGTTGTCGTCGTCGTCGTCGTCTTCTTCAAGTAGCCTCCACTGATAAGATCTCCAGTTCAGCCCACCAGAGGGGAGAAAGCCTTGGAACGGATTGGTCCGGTGACAATCCTATCACTTCTCGTAGTTTGGCAGCGATGTCTTTCATTGTTGGTCTCATCCTTGGATCTGATTTGATGCAATCTTGTATCACCTCACAGATCACGTCCAGCTCGTTGTTTTTGAACGATTTCAGACTTTGATCAATCATGTAGCTTATACTCCTCTTGTCATTTAGAAACTCTGAAGCCTGCAATGTTTATAAACAGATAAGAGTTGAATAGGAGTTGTTGTTGTTGTTGTTTCAGTTTCTTGAGCGTTTGGAGTATATTCTGAACCTACCCAGTTCACAAGGGGCCCTTGTTCCTCTGTGTATGGCAGCTTTCCTGAGATGATTTCAAGCAACAATACTCCGAAACTGTACACGTTTGACTCTGGATCCGCGAGGGGCGGTAACTCAGAATGCTCGTTATCGTGGTCGCCTGTGTTGTTATATTTCGATACCCCATTTGATAAGAAAATTATCTCTGCAATCTGCAGGATTATGGGAGATCATACGATATGAACGACGGTTTCGAATTATGATCAAATCAGGCAAATGGGAGTGTTTATATGTACCTTGGCAGCATAATCATCAGTTAAATAAATAGCTGTTGATGTGAGATTTGTATGTGCCACTGGGGGATTTAGATCATGATGCATATACTGAAGGCAATATGCTGTTCCCATAATTATTCTCATCCTTGAAGCCCAGTCAAGATGTTCAACTTCTTTAACTGATCAACAAAAGAGTTACATTTATGTTAGTATTATAAATTAGAGCCTCAAATACTGAAACGACTTGCATTCCATAGTCGTTCTCTACCGTGCAGGTGCTCGAAAAGAGTTCCGTTTGGAGCGTACTCGAACACCATCATCCTAGTAAAGGGTTCTTCCTCCTCACAGTAGCCAAGAAGATTAACAAAATTCTTGTGGTTGATCCGTGACAATGTATCGATCTGCACCCAAAGCGAATTGGAGGAATAAGGTTTTAGTCGAATCTTCGAGTTCCATCGAGGGAGAGGGTGAAGGGAAAAGAAAACGAAAACGAAAACCTTTTTCCGATAGGTTTGCTCCGAACTCTTTGACCAATCCTTAGAGGAAGTCACTGAGACTGATGCAACAGCAATTTCCACTCCACTTGATAGTGTTCCTTTGTAGATAGTGCTACAATCAAAAGTGTCAATAATGTTGCTGAAATCCTCACAGGCTACTTCCAATTCTGGTCGATTCAATTTCGGTGCACCTAGTAAGAAAAACGAACACAATTCAGTCCCCTCGGCACGAAAAGTAAACCAACTACGCGTAGTTATAGCTTTCTGGCACTCATGAATCAAAATACCTGTTATGAATGCTTTCTGCAACTGCCCACTCAATCCAGTCTTCCAAGGACCAATAGTCGTGACGCCTCGGCTTCGGCACATGCAGAAGATTATGGTAGCCAAAATAAGTGATAAAGATACACCTCCAATTATGATTGCATACTTCCAGAAATGTCCAGAAGGATTATCAATTCCATGAGTTGGCAGTGTATCCGAGGGTTGCGATGAGGTATTCTCTGGTAGAGGTTGGGAAAGAGGCGCTGGTTCGGGCGGAGGAGGTTCCTTTTTAGGTTTATTTGGTACAGCAGGGAAAGTACCACTACTTCTAGGACTTGTAACAGTATAGACCGAGTCCGAAGAGGGCAATACAATGCTAGAAGGAACAGCTGCAAGGTTGGTTGATTCATCGAGCAGCTTACGCCGATGAGTATTGACAAGATTCTGTACAGTGTCATCCACATCTTGTGGAACAGAACCTGCTTAAATTCATATCTTATAAGTAATCATTCCCCATTTTCAAGAATGGAAGTTTTCAAAAGTTCTGAACTCACTAGGGAGATTATCATCGTTATTTTCCTTAAGGTCAGACTGAGAGTCCTTCTCAAGCTTGAGCCTTGAAAGAGAAACAAACAATTTCAACAATCGAACAAGAAACGTTTCTGCTATAACAATGCAAGGACGAGTTAAAAGATGAATCGCGTTCTATTACTACGTACAGTGAGTTTGGCATGGTGCTGAGGTATCGAACGTATGCGTTATCCTCACTTGCAGAAGTATCTAAACTTTTCATATAGATGGGATTTCTCTGCCAGATGCTACCCCATTAAAGGAGCAGATAAAATGTTAACACGTCGAAGACTTTCCATGAACGTTCGACAAGTATAAGAAAAAGTCATTTGAATGAGAGTTCATACCAGTGCCCATGCTTTCTATTTACACTGCCACCTTCAACATCCCATAAAAATACAAGGTTATCATCGAACTGTAATTCGTACAGAGAGCTGAGATTCTGAAGCTCTGATGGGACACTGCCTTCAAATTCATTGTCACAAAGGAACCTGAGATTATGAACAGAGAACAAAATCAGTCCCTGACGCGGAGTTCGGGCAAACTCTCGATATAAAAACTATGTGTTGACGTTAAAGCTTACAAGTATTTTAGATTGGAGATCCTGCTTATTTCTGCAGGAATTGTTCCACTAAAGTTATTTTCCCTCAAATCCAACAACTCCAAATGTGTTAGTCCTTCGATTTCACGAGGAATGGTGCCATAGAAACCATTCTTATAGAGAATACTGTCAATGCATAAAGAGTTTTTAAGTTAATGGCCCAAGTTCTTTAAAAGAATCACTTAATGATAGTAACACAAAAGCTTACAGTGATCGTAAATGAATAAGTCTCCCGAGTTCTGGGGTCAGAGTCCCTTTTAACATAAGGCCACTCAGATTCCTACGAAATGTCGAGATGAAACGTCAAAATTTCACTATCACATGGAACAAACAAAAGACATAATCTACCTAACCACAACATAGCATTATCGTCAACCTAAACAAAGATTTGAATCCGCCCACCCATAGTTATCGAGCTCAAAACAAAACGAAATGAAACGAAACAGAGTACTATTGGAACTCAGCATCATGAATAAAATCATCCATGGGTTTATTTTAAAGAGCTACATCAAGTATAACAAGGTTGTTGAAAATGGAGAGCATACAGGGTGTGGACTTCACCACCAACGCAATGAATACGAGACCATCTGCAAGGATCATTCTCATTTGGATTCCAATCATCCAAAGCATCATGAGGATCATAAGTTACTTGAGAACGGAATGCCAACAGCGCCAATCCTAAACTCGCGACAATGAAATCATCCACAAGGCATAGACATGAAATTAATCTCAATTTGTGGGGGGGAAAAACAAAGAAAAGGTACAAAAAACAAGATTTACCTTCATCATTAAGTGAGAAACAAACTTCAATACCGAAAACAACAATCAAAGCTAAGAAAGTTGAGAACCGAAATGCTATCGGGATACATCCATCCCCCATCGCTTGGTGATCACAATGCAGCAGAGGCCAATAGCCGCAGAGCTATGCAACAGACTACACAAAATCGCCAGGGTTTTCTATACAAACGACCTCGTTGCAAACACTCGTAACCAGAAACAAATATCGATTGGAACTTCGTATGGAATTAGGCTAAGCTAAGAAAAAACCTATGTTACAATTGCATTTGAATTCAAAAGGGCTGCCAGGACCAGCAACCGTATAAGGATTCCTCATCTTTGATTCTTAAATCAGTTCCACAATCCCTTTTCCGGTAAGAAGTTCATTACCCAGCTCAGCAAGACTAAATCCACAGAAATCCCTGAATATAATCCAATCTAAGCTCAAGCGTCAGAGATTTCACAAAATAAGATCAACAGAACAATGGATCATACAAAATTTTCAGAATAAGGGAATACCCTCCTCATCAAGCAAGCAAACAATATAAAATACAAAAGGAAGCGAATGAAAGAAAGAGTAAATACCTTGAAGAATGGGAAGAAAAAAAGGTGCAGAAGAATCTGTCCGTATGGGAAGCTGATCGAGATGTAAATTCTTTTTTTTGTTTTTTGTTTTTTTGTATAAGGGTCGTCAAAATGGGGGGGGGAAATGTAAAATTAGAAGCCCACAAAGAGAATGTGGTATGAATCTTTGTAAGGAAGAAGAAACGTAGGTGGGTGGATCTATTAAGCTACAGAAAAAAACAAGGAATGTTGAGACGAAAGGCAGCAAAGAAAAAGAAAGAAGGAGATGAAATATAATGAAGAAAGGTTTATTTTTCTATTACTGCCCCTTCAGGATGATCTCAGAGCACTTTCTCTTCGACCATCTTCTGGGTCTCTACCAGGTCTCTGTTTCTGTTTCCGTCTCTCTGTTTTTCTGTCTCTCTGTTTTTCTGTCTTCTGTTTCTCTCTCCTTACCAGCTTCTTGTTTTCCCTTTCTCCTCCACCTTTCTCTCTCCAATCCCTTTGCACCAAGCCGGGATTGATTTTTTTTCGTAAAAAAAAATCATCAAAATTAGTGAATAATTATATATAATTAAGAGGGAGAATATTAATTTCTTTGGATGTGGCGTGGTTAAACCGTTGAGAGTTGAAAACACTATCCGTTTCTGTCATTCGGCGGCACAGAGACAGAGAGAGACAGAGACAGAGAGAGAGAGTGGAAATCGATGATGAGTGGCTTAGAGGGTCCCCATTTCCGTCGTAAACGGACGCGCTTTCATCTTCATCTTCTTATTTTTAATTTAATTTGTTCCGTTGACCAAGCCTTCCTTTCTCTCTCCTTCCTTCCCTTCTTTTCGTGCCTGCCTCTCTCTCTCTCCCTCTCTCTTACCCAATCAATCTTCATTTTACAGCAAACTTACTATATTCCCTCGATAGATTATCTAGGACCTTCGTCCAACGACTGTGATTTTGCCACCTCTACATTCCCATTTTTCTGTTTGTTTTCTCAAGAAAAACCAAAACAGAGCAAACCCCATCTCCAAAAATTACACCTTTTTTTCCCCTTTTATCAGAGCTATAAATGAAGGGTTGAGAATCGTGTATTGGGTTTGTTTTTTCTATAGGACCCATCTTCCAGAACCGGGAAAAAATTACACCTTTTTCCCTTTATCAGAGCTGTAAAAACAGAGTGAGAATCGTGTCAAACGAAACTGTAATTCTACAGCATATTTGAAAGTTGGATAGGCTGCTGGAAGGTTGTCATTCAAGAACATTAAGTCTAACTTTTGGCTCTAGTAATTCCGGGCTTGTTGTTTGTCTCTATCAGGCTTACCAAAACCCAGAGCTTTGAAGATAAGAAAAATACAGGTTATTGATGTCACAAATACAATCAAAGTCAGAAACTTGATGTAACGAAACTAAGTGCTCAATCAAGAAAAGAAAAAGAAAAAATTAAACCCATTTGAATTCGTTTTCTTGATCCTGACTTTGAAGGTTGCAGTGCAAGAAAGAAAGAAAAAAGAAAAGATATAGCATCCTGTTATGTCTCTATCCAAAATCTACACGTCTCTGTAGTTAAGAATTCATTATTGAGCTTTCAAGCTCAACTTTTCTGAATACTTATATTTAAACCTTCCTATCATTTAAATAATCCTTGATTTTCCTGCTTGAATCATGGGTTGAAAAACTCAAATTTTATATTGCTGGGTTCAGAGAAACGTAGACATTGATGTTAAAAGGCATTACTTTTGAAGGGTAGATGGCGATGACTGTTAAAAAGTGAATGAAAATGCTTGAGAGTGACAGAGAAAAAGAGGGCTCAAACAACAGTTTATGAAGAAACTTTCATTCTCAGAAATTTCTTAAAATATATAACTTTTACTTCAAATATACAGTGCAATTACCTCACATCTATGTTGATTCCTAGGCTGCTGTATACGGAATTCATTCTGTGAATATGAATGTTTCCTCCGCTATGCCCCTACATGTCTTCACATAAAGATCAGAAGACATAGAAGGAAAAGGGAAGCTCAAATCGTCTCCTAACTTATTCAAAAAAAAATTTGAGGAAAGGAAGTACAAACCATGCTAATGTATGAACTTTTACACAAAACCAATCAATCAACCTGAGTGTTGAAATTCTCTGCTGTTGAGTGCTGTGAAACAGGAGGATTTAATTCCTGAAAAGACCGATAAACAAAGAGAATTAGTCGGTTTCTTTGGAAGCAATGAATTTGTTACCATATATGTTTGAAAGTTCATGACATTACCTCGGAGTATCGAACATGATCGTGATGCGAATTTGTAGATTTTACAATGGTTTCCCACTTGGTGCTGGCTGATGTCCTAGGACACTGCAGCTTGTGATGAAACTTGTTTCCAAGATTTGATCCAGCAAGTAACTTTTTCGAGGAAACCGAAGGGAGAGTACACCAGAGCCAAGACTCAGAAGGCGACTTTGGTAGAGGTGGAGGTTGAGACGATATCACAGAAGTTACTTCGACACTTGCCGGATCTTCTACTTTTACTAGCTGAAAATTGGCCGTGGAGTATTCACCTTGATCAGCAGAGCCCACATTAGAGTATCCAGAAAGATCTTCTTTGTAAAGTCCATGTCCCATTTTGGAGTCATCATCAATGGCGTCTTTGTTTGTAGATTCTGCGGCTTCACACTGCAACTTCCCGTCTTCAATCAGAGTCAAGCACTTTACTTCTGGGAAAGAAGGTTCCACAGTGATAGTTCCTTCTGTCACTCTGGTCTCATTTGTTGTTTCATTGTTCCAACTAGCATGATCAACCATTTCATTGGCATCCAAAAGGCTTGAATTCAATGGAGGAGTTAGTTCAACAACGCTTGCAGTATCTATGTAGAGTGTCTTCTCAATCAGGGTACTCGCCGTGTCAACTCCATGTTTAGTTGCTTGAATGGATCGTCTATCACGAACGTTAGTATTACCTTTAAAGTTGGAGATAGTCTCGACGTCTTTAGGAACTACAAGCGACTGCTTCCTACTAGGAGACCATGATGCTTCATTCCGGAAGGGAGAAGCCGTCCTCGAATGCCTAAAGGGAGAAGATCTACCTCTCATTTGCAGGTCGGTGGAGGAAGGAAAATGTTTTGGTTCACCAATCCACTTATTTTTTACCTCCTGCAGCTTAGGTGATCCAGCAGCATCCCAAGCATGCTGTAAGAAGTAAAATTTATCAGCAATTATACTTGTATAGGAAGCAAATGGGAAGAACAAAATTAAATGAAGAGTAACCTTGTTGATCTTTTGGCTATGTGAATGATGCATTGTTCTGCTCGATTCCCTAACTTCATTAGTGATAGAAATGGGCGACTCCGTCCTGATTCTCATCCCAGGCACAGGACTAAGAAAGCCCAAAGCGTTTTTGAAGCATATATTGGGTATTAGACCACAACCTCTAGCTGATATATTACCTGGATTGTCATATTCATCATCCACAGAGTCACTTTCTCCATCTACTTCATGTACTTCATCTCTGCAATACCGAAGTAACAGGGTAGACTCGAGTTGTTTAAGCGGAGACATCCTCCTATTCTCAGACGGCATCGTCTTAACTTGCCTAGGTTGCTCAACTGCTATAGGTTGCTTCTTTAAGGAATACTTAGCAGGCTCCAAAACCATTGCCTTGGCAGCAGGTAAGAAGCGACTCATCATGAAATCTCGAGTTTGAGGATCTGTTTGGAAAGTTCGACCGTTGTATCCACTTAGACCACTCACACTACAGTTGTTAATAGAGAATGAACCAGTGAGGGACAGTGTTTCGCGTGCATCAGAGAAATCATCATCATCATCATTCTCAGATACCAAGCTCCTCGTCTCACTAGCTTTCGTTGACTCTAATCTAACAACAACGGCATTTGAAGAATTAGCTTCACACTCGTTTTGATAACAAGCTTCCATTTCCAAAGCCCTCCCAAAGGAAAGTCCAGGACTAGAACAAGTCCTCTCAGGAGGCAGATGAACCTCAGGTGAAGCTGAGCCACTACCATTCTTAGCTCTTCCTGGAATTTGCTCCCAATGGAAGGGAACTGCAACTGGTTCTGTTACTTCCTCTAAATTGAATGGCGGTCGAGAAACTCGAAAGCTACTCCGTCTACTAAGCTGGGAATCTTCAGGTTTCTTTTCATTCACTTTAACTAAAGAACTTGATGCCTTGGAAAATCGCCTCACAGACATGAGAGGTGCATTAAAATTGAGTTTTCTTTCCTCCATTGCGTCCCCAACCAACAAGAACAACGGGAAGAAAATTTAACTATTGAAGTAAGGTTCACTAACACCGCAAATAAACCTAATCCGATAAACCCTTTTGCTAGTCTACGATTGCAAGTCTTCAGCAGTGAAACACGACCCAAATCAATGATCTAATATGAAAGAAAATTCATCCACAAACTTGAGAAAGGGGTAATCCAGAAATTCCGATGAATCAAACATCCAAATCCCCAAAATTAAGCGAACCCCAGATAAGAATGTGCAGTAACAACTCCTAAAAGTTAATCAAAATGCGAAAACAAACACAAAAGAGAAAAATCAATAGAAGCGATTCATAGACAGCGTTAAACCCATACGAAAACAGAACAGCAGCACATTTTACAGAGAACCCAGCAAGAAAAAAGGGTTCATAAACGATGGCGTGTAGCAAGGGAAAACGAGTAAATGAAAAGGAAATCAGTGACTTATTGTGCGCCAAATTGAGCGCATCATCTTCATGTTGCTTTACGCCGATTGTGGCTTCAATTTGTCAGGCTCCCGCTGCATTCAAAGCTCTTAGTGGGATCAGAAGAAGAAATACAGTTGATGAGGGTCTTCCAAAAAGTGGAGGCAAAGCGGGAGGAGAGAAGAATTGATAGCGCACTTTCTTGGCTGCGCGCTCCACGTACCTTCGTACAATCACTGTCTCTTTGGTTTACAATTTTGAGCCGTTCGTATGATCGTTTATTCATTCCAATACAAATACAGAATCATCTTCAATAATTGAATTCTTTCATTTAAAGCTTTAAATTACCGTTAAAAAGCACCCTTCCAATACACCCTCCTTTCAAAAAAAAAAAAAAAAAAATTAAAATTAAAAATTTAAAATATTTAAAAAATAACTTTGATTTTTTTTTTTAATATTTAACGATAGTTATGTCTTAAAAAGTAAAATTAATACTCTTAATTTTTTTAAAAAAAAAATTAAAATATCTTTTTTCTAAGGTTAATATCTTCAAAATTACACAGAGAAATGATATATAAAAGGTGAATAGACGATTTTCATTCATATATTAATAAGATTTTTTTTAAAACAAAATTTATAATATTGTTTTAAAATATTAATGGATTTTCTAAATACGTTATAATGTATTTTACCTTTTTAAAAAATTGAAGGATATTATTTAAACTTTTTTAAAGGTTAAAAATATTTTTAAGATAGGATACAAAAAATTATTAAATTATTTATTTATTTTTCAAAACAAATAAGTTTTTATTAATAATAAATTACGCATTAATTAGTTAATAATATTTCAAATATATTTAATTAATTGAGATTAGTTAAATGAAGTTGGTAGAAAAACTATTTTTCAATGATATAACTAATTATTTATGGTTAGTATATTGTTTATTAAATTATATTTTCTTCTATTATTAACTAAATTTAATGGATTCAAATTAAATTTATAATTAATAATATAGGACTATAATTAATTATATAATTTATTAAAATTAATTAATTATTCTATAATATTAAATAAACAATCATATATTTACTTAATTCATTTTCTGATAAAATTGTAATAAATTAACGTAATTAAAGATATTTATTAACATTGTTAATTACTTAATTTTAGCATTAGTTAAATTAAGTACAATTATTCATTTGTTAATAATATTTATAATCAACTCTTCAATTAAAATGATTATTTTATTATTGACTAATTATACTTTGAATTAAATTTAATTATTTAATTATTTAATTATTTAATCTATTAAAATTATGTAAGGTTATCTACATTCATTTTATAAAATAAATACAAAAATAATTTATTGATAACTTTTAATAATGATCTCGTATTCCCGAACATATTATTCTCGAGAATATATGAAAAATTAAACGTTACGACTCTTAAGAAAAAAATTACACAACTACCCTTAAACTACGAGATTTGTTGCAACGAATTTCTATCGTAACAATAGTTCCTTTTTAAATAATTATTAGATTACTTTTTATTTAATAGTGTTATAAATCATATGTAACAACCGAGATCCATTGCTAGCAGATATTGTCCTCTTTAGGCTTTCTCTTTCGAGCTTCCCTTCAAAGCTTTAAAACGCGTCTTCTAGGGGAAGGTTTTCACACCCTTATATATGGTGATTTGTTCTCCTCCCCGACCAACGTGGGAAATCACAATCCACCCCCCTTCGGAGCCCAGCGTCCTCGCTAGCACTCTTTCCTTCCTCCCAATCGACGTGAAACTGCTCCCAAATCCACCTCCTTTGGGGAACAGCGAGAAGGCTAGCACATCGTCTGGTGTCTGACTTTGATACCATTTGTAATGACCCAGATCCACCGCTAGCAGATATTGTCCTTTTTGGGCTGTGATATCCCACGTTCGTTGGGGAGGAGAACAAATCAACATTTATACGGGTGTAAAAATCTTCCCCTAGAAGACGCGTTTTAAGCCTTGAGGGAAGCCCAAAAGAAAAGGCACAAAAAGGACAATATCTGCTAGCGGTGGATCTGACCCGTTATTATTGTATTGTCATAATATCAATATTCTAATTAATATTGTGTAAATGTAGTTGATAGCGCTAGAAGCCTAGCCCAATCCATTTCAATCCAAGCCCAGTAGCTCATCTCCCTAAATTCATAAGCCCAGC